TGATTTTTTAATCACAAAAACGTCAAGTCTGACGTTTTTGATTAAAAAAATCATTTTTTTTTGATTTTTTAATCACAAAAACGTCAAGTCTGACGTTTTTGATTAAAAAAATCATTTTTTTTGATTTTTTAATCACAGAAACGTCAAGTTGATTAAAAAAATCAATTATTTTGACGTTTTTTATTAAAAAAAATCAATTATTTTTGATTTTTCAATCACAAAAACGTCAAGTCTGACGTTTTGATTAAAAAAAATTAATTTTTTTTGATTTTTCAATCACAAAAACGTCAAGTCTGACGTTTTGATTAAAAAAAATCAATTTTTTTTTGATTTTTCAATCACAAAAACGTCAAATTTTTGACGTTTTTGATTAAAAAAAAAATTTTTTTTTTTTTTTCACATTTTAATAAAAAATGATCAACATACTATTTCATGATCTGTCAAATTAACATTCTTTTTGAGCAGCACAGTTAAACTCAGCGCAAAAAGTTTCCATAGTGAATGTTCACTTTCTCTGTACATGTACATGTACTGTACATGTTCATGTTCATGTTCATGTTCATGTTCATGTTCATGTACATGTACAAGTACATAATAATATAAAGATTAACTGGAGACTTTTTTACCAAAAAGGCAATTTTTTTCGTATCCACGGCAACTGTGCATGTGGTGATTTTTAAAAATGGAATGGGAAAATTTTGGCGAAAATCTGGTCAAAATGGGATGATCGACTAAAATTTTTTCCCCTTAAAGATAAAAATTACCAGAAAATCTTATCTTTGGGTTAATGAATGATAATCATTTCATTGGTGCTTAATAATTAAATGATTAATCAGTTACTGCGATTTTTGTAATAATTGATTTACATTCCGGACTTCCGGTTTATTTGTCATATATGCAATGATGTACTTGTGATCAACATTTTTGCACATAATGTATTTTGCATTAAAGGCGCTTAATAATAAAAAAAAAAAGAAAAAAAGATATTTACTTTAACTTTTCCGGTTGGGGAGAATTTGAGATTTTGATATAGTAATTTAAAGAATTTTGATATAGTAATGGACAAATGTATTAAAGGTATATCAAACAAGCTGAAATATTAAGTTTTTATTTATAAACAATTCATGTTTAATATTTTACATAATTCAACTAATTATATTCTTAATTTAAATAACTAGATTGTAAGTAATATATATAATTTACAAGTAAATACTTTTATATTATCTTTATATTTAACTAATTAATAATTAATAATACTACAGGGTGTAAGTTATATGATATCTATATTTATATTATTTATATAATTTAACTAATTTCATTATTTAAAAAATTATTAATTAATATAGATGGTAAGTTATTTATTTGATTCTATTATTACTATATTTACATATAATTTAAACTAACTAATTTCTTTATTTAATAGATTGTAAGTTATAAGTTATTTATTTAATTCTATTATTACTTATTGTTATAATATTTACATATAATTTAAACTAACTAATTTCTTTATTTAAAAAATTATTAAATAATATAGGGAGTAAGTTATTTATTTAATTCTATTATTACTTATTGTTATAATATTTACATATAATTTAAACTAACTAATTTCTTTATTTAAAAAATTATTAAATAATATAGAGAGTAAGTTATTTATTTAATTCTATTATTACTTATTGTTATAATATTTACATATAATTTAAACTAACTAATTTCTTTATTTAAAAAATTATTAAATAATATAGGGAGTAAGTTATTTATTTAATTCTATTATTACTTATTGTTATAATATTTACATATAATTTAAACTAACTAATTTCTTTATTTAAAAAATTATTAAATAATATAGAGAGTAAGTTATTTATTTAATTCTATTATTACTTATTGTTATAATATTTACATATAATTTAAACTAACTAATTTCTTTATTTAAAAAATTATTAAATAATATAGGGAGTAAGTTATTTATTTAATTCTATTATTACTTATTGTTATAATATTTACATATAATTTAAACTAACTAATTTCTTTATTTAAAAAATTATTAAATAATATAGGGAGTAAGTTATTTATTTAATTCTATTATTACTTATTGTTATAATATTTACATATAATTTAAACTAACTAATTTCTTTATTTAAAAAATTATTAAATAATATAGGGAGTAAGTTATTTATTTAATTCTATTATTACTTATTGTTATAATATTTACATATAATTTAAACTAACTAATTTCTTTATTTAAAAAATTATTAAATAATATAGGGAGTAAGTTATTTATTTAATTCTATTATTACTTATTGTTATAATATTTACATATAATTTAAACTAACTAATTTCTTTATTTAAAAAATTATTAAATAATATAGGGAGTAAGTTATTTATTTAATTCTATTATTACTTATTGTTATAATATTTACATATAATTTAAACTAACTAATTTCTTTATTTAAAAAATTATTAAATAATATAGGGAGTAAGTTATTTATTTAATTCTATTATTACTTATTGTTATAATATTTACATATAATTTAAACTAACTAATTTCTTTATTTAAAAAATTATTAAATAATATAGGGAGTAAGTTATTTATTTAATTCTATTATTACTTATTGTTATAATATTTACATATAATTTAAACTAACTAATTTCTTTATTTAAAAAATTATTAAATAATATAGGGAGTAAGTTATTTATTTAATTCTATTATTACTTATTGTTATAATATTTACATATAATTTAAACTAACTAATTTCTTTATTTAAAAAATTATTAAATAATATAGGGAGTAAGTTATTTATTTAATTCTATTATTACTTATTGTTATAATATTTACATATAATTTAAACTAACTAATTTCTTTATTTAAAAAATTATTAAATAATATAGGGAGTAAGTTATTTATTTAATTCTATTATTACTTATTGTTATAATATTTACATATAATTTAAACTAACTAATTTCTTTATTTAAAAAATTATTAAATAATATAGGGAGTAAGTTATTTATTTAATTCTATTATTACTTATTGTTATAATATTTACATATAATTTAAACTAACTAATTTCTTTATTTAAAAAATTATTAAATAATATAGGGAGTAAGTTATTTATTTAATTCTATTATTACTTATTGTTATAATATTTACATATAATTTAAACTAACTAATTTCTTTATTTAAAAAATTATTAAATAATATAGGGAGTAAGTTATTTATTTAATTCTATTATTACTTATTGTTATAATATTTACATATAATTTAAACTAACTAATTTCTTTATTTAAAAAATTATTAAATAATATAGGGAGTAAGTTATTTATTTAATTCTATTATTACTTATTGTTATAATATTTACATATAATTTAAACTAACTAATTTCTTTATTTAAAAAATTATTAAATAATATAGGGAGTAAGTTATTTATTTAATTCTATTATTACTTATTGTTATAATATTTACATATAATTTAAACTAACTAATTTCTTTATTTAAAAAATTATTAAATAATATAGGGAGTAAGTTATTTATTTAATTCTATTATTACTTATTGTTATAATATTTACATATAATTTAAACTAACTAATTTCTTTATTTAAAATTGTTTATGATCTAGCTTGTAAGTATCTCTAAAGTTATATATTTTATATAATATTTATTTGTTAACTGAATTCATTCTTTTATTTGAAAAATATCTGTCACTTTAGTCAGTAAGTTGTAAATCGTAAATCATAGGTTATTATATGTATTTATCTAAAAATTAAGGCTTGTATTCATTAAATTCCTATTTAAATTTAGAGTAAGTAATAATTTATATGTATAAATTATAATCAATCTATAATAATAAATTTAATTAATTAAATTTATAGATTTGGGAAAAGTGGTAATACAATTATAGACGATTTTATTCTTGAAAAAGGATTAAGATGGTTTCCTTATAACAAATTTAAAAATGTTGAATATTTTAATGAAGGAGGATTTGGTACTATATACAAAGCTATTTGGTTAAAGAATAATAGAAATGGAGAAGATGAAGAAGATGATGATGAAGAAGATGAAGAAGTAATTCTTAAATGTCACAAGAATTTAAATGAAGATTTAAATGAATTTTTGAAAGAAGTATGATAGTATATTATTTTCTATTTTTAATTTATTTATATTAATAAATTATTATTATTTTTTATAGTGGGAATATCATACAAGTGTTTTAAGTTCAGAAGATATTATAGAATTTTATGGATTCACAGAAGATCCAAATACATCAAAATATATGGTAGTAATGTATTATGCAAATAAAGGTAACTTAAGAGAAAATTTAACAAGAATAGTTGTAAATAATTGGAGTCAAAAATTATATATGTTGTACGAAATTATTTCTGGACTTAATAATATACATGAAGAAAAACTTATTCATTGTGATTTTCATGATGGTAATATTTTAAATCATAATGTTGAGAATAAGGATAAAATTTATATTAGTGATTTAGGATTATGTCAACCCGTAAAATCGTTTTTGAAAAAGTATGATATTTATGGTGTTATACCATTTATGGCACCTGAAGTTTTGAGAGGCAAATCTTATACTCCAGCTAGTGATATATATAGTTTTTCTATGATTATGTGGGAATTTACATCTGGAATACCACCATTTAATAATAGAGCACATGATATTCATCTTAGTTTAAGTATTTGTAAAGGTGAACGTCCTGAAATTATTGAAAATACTCCACAATGTTATGTAGATTTAATGAAAAAATGTTGGAATGAAGATCCACTAAAAAGACCATCTTCTAAAGAAGTATTTGAAATTATTGAAAAATGGAATTTTCTCCCATATAAAGTGAAAGTTGAAGATATTAATGAAGAATTAAAAAGCAACATTATGGAATTTATAAATGCACCAATTGGGCATAAAAATCTTGCTACTAGATCTCATCCTAAAGCTTGTTTTAAAAGTCGTTTACTTGATTTTACTAGTAAAAAATTGAATGAAATTCTTGAAAGTGAAAAAGCATATCATGCAAGTCATTCAGAATTGAATGATTGTTTAATCAGAGATTCGAGGTCATTAGGTATATACTATAATATATAAAAAAAATTAATCTTGCAAATTATTTATATGAAATTAATTTATTTATTTAATTATTAAAACAGACGAGAGTACTAGTAAAAAGTTGAATGAAATTCCTGAAAGTGAAGATTCACAAGCTAGTGTAAAAGCAAATGAAATGCTAGTAAGTGAAGATTTGAATGATTATATATATAATTAAGGGTCTGGGGTTATTAGGTATGTATTATATATATAAAAGTATTAATCTTGCAAATTATTTATGTGAAATTAATTTTATTTAATAATTTTTTATTTAGATATTAAAGCAGATAAAAATTAACCAATCATTGTTCGTTTTTAAAAAAATTTATAGTTTTTTTAAGTGATATTTTACATTACAACATTCAAAGAAATTGTTTTTTTTATTTTATTCTTTTTAAATTTATTTAAACACTAAGGCTAGAGTAGTGAAATATTTTACAAGTTTCTTAGTTTGTAATTTAGATAATTCTTTTTTTTTAGCTTATATTCACGTTTTTTTATTATACTTAGAATTATTTGAACACTAAGATTAGAGTAGAAAATATTTTACAAGTTTCTTAGTTTGTAATTTAAATAAATCTTTTTTTTATAACTTTTCCAATTATGAGATATAAATTATCAAAATAATAATATAAAACCATTTCTAATGATAATGAAACTGTTTTATACTTATTTCAATAGCTGATTATACTTAATTTATATTTGTTGACTTTTATTTTTAATATTATTTAAATATTTTGATAAGAAACTACACCATTGATATCTGCTGGATTATACAAGGCATTTTTTTTCTTGATAAACCAAAGTCTTCTAACTTTATTCTATTTTGATGTACAAGTACAAATGTACTTACTAAAATGAATATATATATTAATTAATTGCTTGATGTAACCAAATTAAAAAAAATTTAAATGTACAATAAAATATTTATGTTACAAATCACAGTAAATAGTTCACTTGTTTATATTAAGCAATACTGACGCGAAGGACTTTAACGGTTTCCTTTTCCTAGTTATTATGTAATCACATTATCGATAAAGATTTTCATATTGACAATATTTATTATCACCATTTATGGCTTTATTTGATGTGTGGATGGGTGGTCATGAATTTATTCCTGACAAGGCAAATTTAAAATTTAACGTTAAATTTAAAATTAAATTTAACTACAAAGACGAACAATTTCCAATCTATAATCCTTGTCATTGAATTTGACCATTCCATTTTTAGCATTTCGTCCGACCATACCGATTAACAAATCTTTTAATCATATTATTTAAACAATAGTTTAAGAATATAGCGATTATGACTCTAACTTCATTCGGCCCAAGACTTCAAATGAATAAAATAATAAATGAGGATTTGTATAACATCTGATTCTGTCGATAAAATTTTTCTTTAAATTTTATTTTATTATTATTGATAATTTTATACTATACACTAAAATAATAAATTTGGCGACATTATATACTGTGTATTTACTACCTTACATAAGGTTGTAATGTGTTGAAAATATTTCTTATTCATATTATACTGTATATTTTATGTGTGCTTTGTATTTTAATTAACTTTTTTTAACTTCATTTGTATATTATACGGTTTAAAAGTCCTTGTGCTACTTTGAAAAATCTTTCAAGTTTAGCGTTGTTATCCAATATTGAACGAATTTTATATATTTCGTAATTTATTATGTAAACATATAATTTTAGCATTTCTTTTATCAGAACGAAAGGAAGAACTGAAGATTAAAAAATTCTTATAAAATTAATATTTACGTTTATAACTAGTATATACGATATATAATTGAACTATAAATAACAGGCAAATATAAGTAGTAAATATGACGAATGTAATGAGCAAAATATTAAATATAATAAATTAATAAAATGATCGTTATTCCTTTTACCTTTGCGTTCTTTTAAGATTGATTGGAAAAATTCATAATTATAATAGTATTATAATTTTAATACAATATCTTAGATATTTAATGGAAAAATAAAAAAGGAATTTGTTTTTTATTGTAGTATTATGCTTTACAAGTTGTAGATTGTCCAGTGTATTAACTCTTAGGAGGGTGAATCTCTGACTCACTAGTCACTATATTGCTTGATTGATCCCCTTTGGTGATGCTGTTGAAATTTTGGTACCACTCAGACAGAATTTGTCGATAACTGGCTATTAAATTACCCTTGATGATCATTGATTAAACCAATGTAAAAAATTTTAAAGGTGCGCCAAATGTCTAAACTTAAACTTTTTATAGTTGTTGATCATCGTAATTTAATTTTTGGTAGCACATGCATATATAATAATTACTTTTTTCAATATTACTTGTTTCGAATAATTAATTTTCGGCATTTTCATTTGCAAGATTCTGTATTCTATAATTCTTAAATTATGAAAAAATTTGGAATTATTTCGGATGTTTCAAATATAATTAGGCTTTAAAAAAATTTTTTTAGCTTTAATACTTATATAGGAAAATTTTAAAAGTTATGGATCGTCGTGAACTCCTTACTGGATCGACCTTTCTTTTGTAAAACATTCTCATTATGAGAAATATTTTTGAAACAATTTAGCTTAATAGAAATACAAGAAATTCTACAAGGAGAGATTTATTTATTTAAAGCCTATTCTTCTTTACTAAATTAATTCATTAATTCTTTTTTTTTTTTTTTTACAAAAAAAATGTCAACAGCAGGACAAGTACGATTTTCATAAAATAATAATAATACTGTTTATAATTTTATACTTAAATGAATTTTTTTAAAAAAAAAAATTAGGTCATTAAATGTAAAGCGGCAGTTGCTTGGAGCCCAACTCAACCTCTAAGTAAGTTCCTTAATTTTATTTTCTTATTTCTTTTTCTTTTCAAAATTAATCTATATTTAATTGATAATCCTTTTTATTGAACAATAGGTATTGAAGAAGTTGAAGTTGCACCACCGAAGGTACGCTTGTTTCTTGTGGCGCAGTAAAGACGAGCGATTTTTTGGTTTTTGGTTATTAATTATTAATTTGAAATTTTACGATACAGGAAGGAGAAGTTCGCGTCAAGATATTGTTTACTGGAGTGTAAGTATTTATTTATTTATTTAATAATTGAAATAAATTCTTATTTATATTATTGAATTACTTTTTATGCATTATTTAGTTGTCATACAGACGCATTTACATTATCTGGAAAAGGTATTATATGATCCTTCGATATTAACCCTTAGTTTCAATTAATTATATTCTAATCACATTTTTTTTTATATAGATGCTGAAAACGGATGGTTCCCAATAATTTTGGGACATGAAGGAGGTGGTATTGTAGAATCAGTCGGCGAAGGAGTAACATCGCTTCAACCGGGAGATCATGTGATTCCATTATATGTTCCCGAATGCGGAGATTGTAAACTGTGTAAAAGTGGATTAACAAATTTATGTACCACAGTTTTACAAGTAATTTATCATGATATTTTTGTTTTATATGAAAGTATTTTGCAAAAAAAAATTTAAAATAATATTTGTAACTTTTTTTTTTTTTTTTAGGGAACAGGATTAATGCTTGATGGAACGACTAGATTTACTTGTAAAGGAAAAAAAATTCATCATTATATGGGTTGTTCTACATTTAGTCAATACACAGGTAAAAAAATAAATTCAAATTTGATTTAAAAACGATATAGGCTAATGTCTTAATAAAAAATTTTTTTTTCAAACAAGTTGTGTTGGAAACATCGGTTGCAAAGATTAATCCTAAAGCTTCACTTGATAAAATTTGTTTACTCGGATGTTGTATTACAACGGGTTATGGAGCCGTAATAAAAACTGCTGACATTCGACCTAATTCTACAGTAGCAGTATTTGGTTGTGGTGGTGTTGGTTTATCTGTAATTCAGGGTGCTACAGCACGTAAAGCAAGGTAACGCATATCTAACGTATATCGTTAAATTTAATTTTAAATTTAAAAAATATTAATTAATTTATTATTATTGGAAATTTTTTAGTCGAATTATTGCTGTAGATAAAAATCCAAAGAAATTTGAATTTGGTAATATTTAATATGTTTGATGAACTGATAATCAATAATTTATTCATTTTTCTAAGTATAATATTAATTTAATATAGCCAAGAAACTTGGAGCGACCGATTTTGTTAATCCTGATGATCACGATAAACCAATTCAACAAGTAAGTATATCTGTTGTTACAAAAAAGAGTTTAGTAACTTATCATATTATAACACGAATAGGTTATGATTGAAATGACAGATGGAGGACTTGATTATACATTTGAATGTACCGGAATTCCAAAAGTGATGAGAGCAGCACTTGAATCATGTCATAGAGGATGGGGAGAATCAATTATTATTGGAGTTTCTGGAGAGGATATTAGTACTACACCACTTCAACTTGTTCATGGTAGAGTATGGAAAGGAAGTGCTTTCGGTGGTATAAAAGGAAGGAGTGAATTACCAAATTTAGTTGAAGAGTTTCTTGAAAAGAAATTGGAAATTGATTTGTACATCACTCATCAATATAATTTGGAAAATATTAATAAATCTTTTGATGTAATGCATGATGGTGATAGGTTAGTATTTTTAAACAAATATTTTAATAAGATAAATTTTTAATTAATATATTTTGATTATTAACCAATTTTATTAATTTTTAAATATTTTATTTTTAGTATTCGGGCAATCATTAGCCTAGAATAAATAAAAATTTTTTTTTTTTTTTTTGTACAACAGATAATTATTATTACAGAATGTATTACAAAAAAATTATTTTTTATTATAATGATAACCAATAAAATAGTCATTTATGCCTAAAAAAATTTTATTTATAGCTAATATTATTCATTGACTAACTGACTAATTTGACAACGCTAACTCGCTAAGATCTACTTATTAAATCAAAGGGTACTACTACTCCCTATTTTTTAAAAAATTTAGCAGTATAACTCCTTATTATGTCAATGACGCAATGTAAAAGGAAGATCTCGAAGATCGAATGATTAAATGCACGTGATTTTATAGTTGAAAATTTTCTATTTTCAACAATTTTTTCGAATCATCAATGAATGTAATCGGAATTATTAATAATAAATATTTCCATTAAATTCATTAAATTATAAATTAACTATTTTTGATAAATTAACTTTATAAGCTCTTTCATTCAATTCCATTTTAGGCATTAAATCAATTTTTTCACTCTATCAATTCTTCATTAACTCGCTCTATAAACATTTTTTTTTTCAATAATAACAACAATAATAACGATACAATAATAACGACAATAATAAATGGTAAACAACAATGGTTCAAAATAAATTATTACCAAAATTATCACAAAATTTACTTGAAATTTTAAATGATGAAGAATATCATGATATTATAATTGAAGTTGGTAACAACCCTTGCGTTAAAATATTTTACGCCCATAGAGTTATCTTAAATCATCGTTCTCCTTATTTTAAAAAAATTTTATCAACAATTAAAAAGAAAAATGATGGAACCTTAATAAATATTAGATTATCAAATATCTTACCTGAAATTTTTCAAATAATCTTAAGGTGAAAAAAATTTTTTTTTTTTTCAAAAAAAGTCATTATTTCAATTATATTTTATTTTTTTTACTTACGTAAAAAAAAAATTCTTTACTTTTTTTTAGATATATTTATAGTGGAAAACTTTCTTTAAAAGATTATGATTCTTCTGATATAATTAAAATTTTAAAAACATCAAAAGAACTTGGATTACAAGAAATAATCCCATATTTAGAATCTTACTTAATTGAAAATAAAGAAAATTGGATGGAACAAAATTTTGATTTAATTTATCAAATGAGTTATGAAAATGATTCATTTTTAAAATTACAAAATTATTGTAAAGATTTTATAATTAAAAATCCTGATAAAATATTAAAATCATTAAATACTTTTTCTATATCAGAAGATCTTTTATTAACAATCTTAAAAGATAAAGAAGATAATATTAATAATAATTATAATAATATTAATATTCATATTAATATTATTATTAAAATGAATGAAGTACAAATTTGGGATTATATTCTTGAATGGGGTATAAAACAAAATTTAAAACTTTCTTCTAAACCTTTTTCAAATTATTCAAATGATGATTTTATTATTTTAAAAAATATTTTACAAAATTTTATTCCTTTTATTAAATTTACTAGATTCACTCCTAAAGAATTTTTAGATAAAGTATATCCTTATAAAAAGGTTATACCTGAAAATTTATATGAAAATTTAATTATCTATTTTTTGGAATCTAAAAACAATCTAAATACTTTTACAACAACAAATGAGACTGAACCGATTCAAGTAGGACTTGAGAAGATTGAAGAAACTAAAGGTACTCAATCAAAACCTTTGATGGCTGAAGTGACAAATCAACTTCAACCGAGACCTAAGAAAGAAATCAAAGTGAATCAATCAAAACCTTTGATGGCTGAGGAGACAAATCTAATTCAACCGAGACCTAAGAAAGAAACCAAAGCGAATCAATCAAAACCTTTGATGGCCGAAGAGACTAATCAAATTCAACCGAAATCTCAAAATGAAACCAAGGCGAATCAATCAAAACCTTTGATGGCTGAAGAGACAAATCAAATACAACCAGATCCTCAGATGACAAAAGAGGTTCAATCAAAATCTCAAATAATTTCAAGTCAACATGCTGAATTAATTGTAAAGTGGATTGATAAAGTAGATATTGTGAAAAGCTCAACCACTTATAATTTAGTTTCGAAATTTATATTTACACGTAAACAAAATTATATATTCAAATTATTATTTCGGGGATCTCGCGATGGATTTACGCCTAAAAAATTCCATAAAATTTGCGATAATCAATCCGATACATTAACAATAATGAAAGTGAAATATAGTAATGAAATTCTTGGAGGATATAATCCGGTTGAATGGAAATCTGATTTTGGTTACGGTAATACTAAGGATAGTTTTATATTTTCTTTTACGAATAAAGAAAGTATTAATGATCACATTATAAGTCGAGTAAAAAGTGAAAAGAATGCCATAAATTATGGGAGTCGTTATGGTCCATCATTTGGTTATGGAGATCTTATAATGCATGGAGGTCCCGGAAATTATGACAATTTTTACGATGGTAATAGTAATTATTGTAAAATGAGTTCCTATGAAAAACCGATTAGAAAAACCAATGAATGTTTTTCTATAGAAGATTTTGAAATATTTCAGGTTATAAAACAAAATTGATGTACAGTTATTTTTTTTTTCTATCGTATTAAATGTGTAGTTATTTTTGATTAAATTCACCGCAATAAACATAGACATACAAATAAAACTACTATCTTCGATAACTAATAAACTTATTATGGATAAGTAATAAAAGTAACTTACATAATTCAAATTATTTGTAACTTCGACGGCGGATTAGTTATATTATTTAACATGAAATACGTGCCGGTCGTGCCGCTATATGAAAACTCGTGACAATAGTTTCAAATTTTTTTTTGTACGCATACACAACAAACCCTAAAACCCTTAAAGAAAAACTTACAAAAGGCGTGACATGCTGCACTCGTATTTATTATCATGTGGCATGTGCACATTCCGATGGACTTTATGAAATTTAGTATTTTTAAATTTTTCCTTTTTCGGTTTTTTTTTCTTTTTTTATTTTTTTTTTTTGCAACTGAATTAGATAGTTTAGGCGTTGATTGATGTCGTAACCCTACTCATTACGAATAGGATTAACACAAAATTTTTTTCCTGATTTTTGATTTTTTGGTGTGAAGTGGAGAATTTTTCTTTCAAATATTTAATATTTTTAATTTTCCTTTTTCACTTTTTTTTTTTCAAACTGAAATTTTTTTTCCCTTTTTTTTCATTCTACCACCATTTAGGGTGGGATCGGTAATCGGATTAGCCCTTTTTTTCCCGTTTATTTATTTTTTTTTTTTTACTAATTTTTTCCCTTAATAAGTTCTTTTTCGTTCCTATCGTTGGATAGAAAAAATTGATACTGAGGCGCCGTTTCTTCTTTTTTTATTTATTTTTTTTTACTAACTTTTTCCTTTAATAATTTTTTTTTTCGTTTCTTCATCTCTTAGGTTTGAATCGGATCATTGCTGCTAAATAACTGAGATAAATATATTTTTTGTTTGAATAAATACATTTAATTAGTATACAATCACTAAAATTATGAACAATTTATTATATGGTTTGAGCCCATTGATTCCGGTAGTTCTGACTAAATTTAAATAAATAGTTCTGGTCAACATTATGATCACGTGAATTTGATACGCTTCCTGTAGTTAATTAACCTTTAAATTTCAATTAATAATAAAGTAATTATTATATAGTCTAAACTATAGAATAGTTTAATGTACGAAAAGAATATAATTCATGGAACTTACAATGAAAACAAGTTAGAAGAGTATGAATTAAGATTAGGCCATTTTATTAATACTAAAGAAAGTTATGACACAGATCGTCATCATGAAATATAGTAAAAGTTTAGAGAAATATTACTAAAAAATGAACGGGAGGATAAAAGTTATGAGAGAATAACAATTTTATTTTTTTCGATATAAATATTATTGAGAATTGTGATTTGTAAGAATATTTGTTTTTATTGAAGCAATTAAGCACGTCACATAAAATCCATTTTAAAAAAAAACTCATCCTATTTCATCAGAAGATTAAACAATTTTTTTGTTATACAAGATAAACAAAAATACGAATTGAAATTATTTAATTATTTCAAATAGATCATAGATCAGTGAAATAATGAGTTACGATATCGCAAATTATATTTACTTTATCAGTTTGTGTCTAAATTCAAACTATACTCGCAGTGATTATTTTAAAATAAAAATCATTATATCTTAATAATTCTAATTTTAAAAATCAATTTATGTGACTGAAAAATTCGGGATCAATGATTTGATCGAACAAAATTTAGCTTTCTCGATCAATGATCATAGTTGACTTGATTCACTAATTTAAAGGATTTATTTTGCCGCTCGATAATCCGACAAAAATTTATTCATTTTTTTTGTTTCTTTTCTGCCCAGCGAAACGAGAGAAAAATCTATATTTGTTTTTGATTTTTTCCAATCGCGATTTGGGTAAGTTTTTTTACTCAACTTTGAGAAGTAACGAAAAGAAAATTAAAGACAAATGAGGGGAAGAAAAAAAAAGCAAGAAACCATCTTCTTTGTGTGTATTATGGCACGTAACGACCAAGGAAATATTGAACCTGAAGATCAAAAAGTCGTAAAGTAATTAAGCTAAATTGTGCAGTATAATGAGTTTATTATATTTTTTTAAGTATTTTTATATGGTACTTAAAAAAATGTTTAATCTGGAGAGGAAAAAATTAACTTTATCTCTTTTTTAACGAGATTTACTTTATTTTATCTATTTATTCTTTTTCATGGTCCTCTTAAATTTATAATTGATAATAAAACAAATTTCTAAATAAAAAAAATAAATAATATGTAAGCAATTATCTAGTGAAGTTTTTGTTTATTTCCTCAAATTTTAACCGGTGCATATATATGATGATCGAACGGACGGTTAATTTCCAATTCAGGAAGTTATAACCGTGTTAATATATAAAGTTGGTCGGTATAGGTTTGGTTATATTTTTTTTCTTTTTAACTTAATTCTTCACGTAACATTATAAATGGCTGAAAATAAGTTTTTAACAAAATTGGCACAAAATTATTAGAAATCTCAGATGATGAAATTATTATGATATATCAATTGAAGTTGGTAATGATCCTTACGTAAAAGTATTTCCATGCTCATATGGTTATCTTAAATTATAGGTCTCCTTATTTATGAAGAGTTTTATCAACAAATGAAAAGAAAAATGATGGAAATTAAATTACCAAATATTTTACCTGAAATTTTTCAAATGATATTAAGGTAAATTAATTAATTTAAAAGTTAATTCTTTAAATGTTTGATTTAATCCATTTTTTATTCTTAAGGTATATTTATTGTGGAAAACTTTCGTTGAAAGAGTGTGATACTTTAGACATCGTTAAAATTTTAATCGCTGCAAGTGAATTAAGTCCTCATGAATTAATTCCTCATTTACAATTCTTTTTGATTGAAAACAAAGTAGATTGGATGATACAAAATTTTAGTTTAATATACAAACCGAGCTTTGAAAATGAATCTTTCTTAGAACTTCGAAAGTTTTGTATAAAATTAATTTCTAAAGAACCTGAGAAAATTTTTGATTCACCTGATTTTACTTCAATTTCAGAAAAATCTTTAATCTCAATTATTCAAAATGATAATGTTCAAATGAGTATAGTTCAAATTTGGGAATATGCACTTAAATGGGGTATTGCTCAAATCCCGAACTTTCATTAGACCCCTTCGAACTTTTCAAAGGGTGATTTTAATATTTTAAGGAATACTTTAAAACAATGTATCCCTTTTATTAAATTCTTCAAATTAACCTTAAAAGAATTTCTCAACAAAGTATATCCATATAAAAAGGTAATTCCTAAAGAGATGTATGAAAATTTAATAAAATATTTTTTGGTTCACGATTGTAATCATAATAGCAAGCCACAACTAGAGATAATCAAAGAGATTGATCATGAAAACATTGATTCAAAAATTATTACAATTCAACATGTTGAATTAATCTCAAAATGGATTGATAGATTGGAAATTACAGACAAAACAAAAAATTTATATGAATTCCAAATTAATTCTTCGTGGTTCTCGTGATGGATTTATGCCTAAAAAATTTCATGAAATTTTGATTATCAATTTCGTACTGTAACAATTATTAAGGTAAAAAATAGTGATAAAATTCTTTGAGGATATAATCCAATTGAGTGGAAGTCTAGTGGTTACGGTATTACTAAAGATAGTTTCATATTTTCTTTTACGAATAAAAAAAATATTAATGATCATATTATAAGTTGAGTAAAAGATGAAAAAAATGCTATGAATTATTGGAATCGTTATGGTTCATCATTTGGTTATGGAGATCTTATAATGTATAGAAGTTCTAGTAACTTTACAGAAACTTCAAGATCGTAGCGATGGCTTAATGCACAGTAACTACATATATGTAATTTCTTTACGATTACATAATGTGGTCACTATGTATTTATAACGCAGTTACTGCGCATTAAGCCATCGCTACGATCTTGAAGTTTCTGTAAAGAACGATTATGATTTTTATAATAATAATAATTAAAATTATTGTAGAAAAAGATCTTATGAAAAATTGATCAGAGAAACAATGGTACTTTTTCTATAGAAGAATATGAAGTATTTCAGATTATATAAAAAATTGATATTGTATATTTTCTGAATGAATAAATTTTTAAAATTGAAAATGATGATCTAAGATTTATGATCTGCAGCCATACTAATTAATTTTAGGAATTGTGCTACTATTAGTACTATATAAGGTTCAGCCTTAAAAAAATTTTTTTTTTTTTTTTCTTTCTAACGATTATAATGGAATTATTACCAAAATTATCACAAAATTTACTCGAAATTTTGGATGATGACGAATATTATGACATTACAATTGAAGTTGGTAATGACCCTTACGTAAAAGTATTTCGTGCTCATATGGTTATTTTAAATTATCGTTCTCCTTATTTGCGAAGAATTTTATCAACAAATAAAAAGGAAAATGACGGAACATTGGTAAATATTAAATTATCAAATATTTTACCAGAAATTTTTCAAATAATTTTAAGGTAAATTAATTAATTTATGTATGTATAAGTAAATGATTCCTATGAATTTATTTTTAATTTTTTATAAACGTTTTATAGATATATTTATGGAGGAAAACTTTCGTTGGATGAATGTGATACTTTAGATATCATTAAGGTTTTAGTCACCGCAAGTGAACTAAGTCTTCACGAATTGATTCCTCGTTTACAATCATTTTTAATTAATAATAAAGCAAGCTGGATGGAACAAAATTTTAGTTTGATATATCAGATTAGCTTTGAAAATGATGCCTTCTTGGAACTTCAAAAGTTTTGTACAAAATTAATGTCTAAAGAACCAGAAAAAATATTCAATTCACCTGATTTCACTTCAATTTCAGAAAAATCTTTAATCTCAATTATTCAAAATGATAACCTACAAATAAGTGAAGTTCAAATTTGGGAACATGTGTTTAAATGGGGTATTGCTCAGAATCCTGGACTTTCTTCTGATCCTTTAAGTTATTCAAACGATGATTTTGTCGCCTTAAAGAATACTTTGCAACAATGTATTCCTTTTATCAAATTTATTAAATTTACTTCTAAGGAATTTTTAAACAAAGTATATCCTTATAAAATGATTATGCCTGAAAGGTTATATGAAAACTTAAATAAATGGTTTTTGAATAACGATTATAATCCAAGTAATAAATTAAAGCCACAAGAGGTTAAAGAAATCAGTTATAAAATGAATAATAATGACTATAACCCAATCAGCAAATTAGAACTACAGACAGTTAAGGTTAGTCATGAAATCAATAATGATTATAACCCAAGTATCAAGTTAGAATCACAGATAATTATTGATTCAAAAATTATTACAATTCAACATGCAGTATTAATTTCAAAATGGATCGATAAGTTAAAGGTTGAGCATGCGATGAAAAATCTTTATGAGTTTAAATTAATTTTTCGTGGATCTCGTGATGGATTTACCCCTAAAAAATTTCATAATATTTGTGATGATCAATCTCGTACCGTGGCAATTATTAAAGTGAAAGATAGTAGTGAAATTCTTGGAGGATATAATCCTATTAAATGGAAATCTGATTATGGTCACGGCGCTACCAATGATAGTTTTATATTTTCTTTTATGAAAAATATTAATGAGTATATTATAAGTCGAGTGAAAGAAAAAGAGAATGCCATAAATTATTGGGAACGTTATGGTCCATCATTTGGTTTTGGAGATCTTATAATATTTGGAGGTAATGTAAATGATTTTAAAAATGGTAATAATTATTGTAAAAAGAAAACTTATGAAAAAAATATCAGAGAAACAGAGAATACATTTTCTGTAGAAGAATATGAAATATTTCAAATTATAAAAAAAATTAATATTTGAGATTCTATGCTTTCTTTATAGCAATTTTCATTTACTGCATTTTATAATAATAATAATTTAATTAGTCTAAAGAGATCAATTGGTATTCTAAATTTTTTTTCATTATATATCTATACAAATTATAACATTTATTAGTGCTAGTATTTATTTTAATGCTGAGACAAGTTTTTATTTTTGAATGCTATAATCATCGTGTTTTCTATTTTTTTTTTGGTAAAACTGTAAAAAATTATACAAATCATATTCTTTTTTGCTAGAGTTCACTGGGTGTAAAACAATCAGATTGCAATCTGTAATAATTGTAATAATTTTTTAATGATTTTTTATAATAAATTTTTTAATTATAGCTCAGATAAGGCCTTTAAGTATTCAGAAATTCAAATTTTAATTAATTTAATTAAAGAATTTAATTAAGCAATATTGGACGTCTAATAAAAAGTCAAAATCGCAACGGGTGAATTCTAATGCTGGCCAAAAATATCACGTGATTCTGCATAATTCTGCATAAAGCGGGCCAACTGTCGGGATTTTGACCCATTCGGGATTTTGACCCGTCGCGATTTAGAACCATAACCATTTATAAAACCAAATACACGTGTACTAATGTGTAATAATAGAATTTATTCTATTTTACTGTTTTTTCAATATTATTTTTCTAAAATTTCACTTTTTAACCCTTAGAAATTTCATTCAGTTAATACTAAATATTACAATGCGGTTAACTAAATAACAATAAGTACGTACAGAAAAAATATTATATATATAAGTTTAGCCAAATTTAGGCCAAAAATACGCAAACTAATTTTTTACATATAAAAATTTTGATAAAAAAATACGCAATCTTGATAACCTAACTATGGATGAAAATTCTTAAATTGTACGCAAATCGACTGTATATATATTTCGGGCCCTATCTGATGGTACTTTTTCTATGGATGAGTATGAAATATTTCAGATTATAAAAAAGTAATATGTATATTTTAGAAATTTTAGATTTTCTTAAAAACTTAAATCAAACTCTTTCGTTATTTTTATGTATTGAGTGATCTGCAACCATACGTCTAATTTGAACTTCTAATTCAGGAAATTGTGCTACCATATAATGTTCAGCCATAGGATTTGGACGAAAAAAATTTTTTTATTTCTTTCTTACGATTATAATGGAATTATTACCAAAATTATCACAAAATTTACTTGAAATTTTAAATGATGACGAATATTATGATATTACAATTGAAGTTGGTAATGACCCTTACGTAAAAGTATTTCGGGCTCATATGGTTATCTTAAATTATCGCTCTCCTTATTTGCGAAGAATTTTATCAACAAATAAAAAGAAAAATGATGAAACATTGGTAAATATTAAATTATCAAATATTCTACCTGAAATTTTTCAAATAATCTTAAGGTAAATTATTAATTTATGTACTATAAATAATTTAATTTTTTATTAATGTTTTTATTATCAACGTTTGATTTTAGGTACATTTATGGAGGAAAACTTTCGTTGGAGGAATGTGATACTTTAGATATCATTAAAATTTTGATGGCCGCAAGTGAACTAAGTCTTCAGGAATTAATTCCTCATTTGCAATCATTTTTGATTAATAATAAAGCAAGCTGGATGGAACAAAATTTTAGTCTAATATATCAAACTAGCTTTGAAAATGATTCCTTCTTGGAACTTCAAAAGTTTTGTACAGAATTAATGTCTAAAGAACCAGAAAAAATTTTTAATTCGCCTGATTTTACCTCAATTACAGAAAAAACTTTAATCACTCTTATTCAAAATGATACACAAATAGATGAAGTTCAAATTTGGGAACATGTGCTTAAATGGGGTATTGCACAGAATCCTGAATTATCATCAGATCCTACATGCTATTCAAATGATGATTTTGTTACCTTAAAGAATACCTTAGAAAAATGTATTCCTTTTATTAAATTTATTAGATTTACATCTAAGGAGTTTTTGAATAAAGTATATCCCTACAAATTGGTTATATCCGAAAAGTTATATGAAAACTTAATTAAATGGTTTTTGAATAATGATTATGATCCAAGTAATAAGTTAGAGCTACAAGAGATTAAAGAAATTAGTTGTAAAATGAATGGTAATGACTATAACCCAAACAGCAACTTGAAACTACAAATAGTTGAGGAAATTAATCATGAAATCAATAATTATTACGACTCAAGCAGCAAGTTAGTATCACAGATAATCATTGATTCAAAAATTATTACAATTCAACATGCTGAATTAATTTCAAAATGGGTCGATAAGTTAGAGATTAAGGATGAAATGAAAAATTTTTATCAATTCGAATTAATTTTTCGTGGATCTCGTGATGGATTTACACCTAAAAAGTTTCATGAAATTTGTGATAATCAATCTCGTACTGTAGCAATTATTAAAGTGAAAGATAGTAATGAAATTCTTGGAGGATATAATCCTATTAAATGGGAATCTATTGATGGCTACGGCAGCACCGGTGATAGTTTTATATTCTCCTTTATGAACAAAAATATTAATGATCATGTTATTAGTCGAGTGAAGGAAAATAAGCATGCTATACATTATTGGAATCGTTATGGTCCATCATTTGGTAGGGGTGATCTTACAATATATGGAGGCATGGAAGATGGATGTAATTTTTATGATAATAGTAATAATTACTGTAGTAGGCGATCATACGAAAGAAATATCAGAGAAATCGAGATTCCATTTCATGTAGAAGAATATGAAGTATTTCAAATTAGAAAGAAATTTTGATGTTAAGAGTTTATGCTATCCTTATTTGCTTTCATTATCTATCTTTAATAAATCATTGACATAAATACCAAAAGATTCCTAATTGAGATTAATCAAGAATCTTAAAACCATGAGGATCATAATAGTACATCCAATAGTATGTTTATCTTGTTGGTATGACGCTCTTCGAGACGCAGCTGTTCCTTTTATTTTCGAGTTTATAAGAGATGGCGCAGAGAATTTATTATTGACGTTTATATTTGGTATTTGCATATATAATAAGTCTTAAAATGGCATTAATTGGATTAATTGGTAAACCACTGTAACAAAATTTTTTTGCTGCGCCGTAAGAAACCATTTAAATATCACTTTTTGTTTTGGCGCAGTTTTTCTCAGCCAATGATTTTAAACCAGCCCTTATTGTTTTAAAATTTTTATCAACTGGTAACCGCCGCTTCGAATTTTTAAGAGTTTTCTAATACCGGAGTTAATAATATATTTCTTAAATAAACAAGAAAAAATGAAGGTAGATATAATTGTTAGGCCCAAATAAAAGCAAAATAGTGACCGGAGTAAAAGAAATGAAAAGAGAAGAGTAACATTGAAACGAATAGTAAATGTGATTTTAATATGAAATTCGAGTAAAATGAGATATATATATATATTATAAATGGATAAATCATTGTTTCATTGTTACAACAGTCGATAATGCACGATAATTATCCTGTACAATACACTCATTTTTTTGCCGTTATTCAGAAACATGACCAACCCGACCTTCTCTTTCTAAAAAAAATATTCGATAAGCAAAAAAAAAAGCTAAAAAATTTACGCGTCCGTAAGTAAATTTTGTTTCATAGGGAATTACGCAATAGAATTTTAAATGTTTTCTCTATTGAGTTTTATTAATACAATTAATTAAACCATTTAACAAAAATTATTTTTTATATATTTTTTTTAAAAAAAGTCACGTTAAAAAAGTAATTTGTTCTTTACAGATTTATTCAATAAAGTTTATTTAAAATTAATCAACATAAAATAAATTTTTCTTTGATTTCGAACTAATGAAGTCAATTGTATAAATTACACATCCTTTAACCTTATTCATTATGATACATTTTTAACATATGGCGTAATTTTTCAATTTTTCATAGTTTTACTTTATGTAGCTTCATTCACGTACACTGCAGTACTACCGTTCGAAAATGATCGAAATAAGAGCTCATTTGGTCAAAGGAAATTGTAACGTTTTACCAAGTCGTAAATGATGATTTATAACATATGTTTGAGCCATGCAATTCCTTAACGTGTTCTTGGTTATTTTTCAGTAATTTCTTGACATTTATATTCAATTTTGAATTTGAGCGTTAAGAAGTGAAAATACTTAAAGTATAATAGAAGAAATTAGTGAACCTTAATTGCCGATCCTCAATTTGTAACCAAATCGCTTTGAAATTTTTCTGAGAATGAATGCTACAGGATTAGTTCTTTATTGCCCAACTATTTAATAAAATTCGAAATTTTACAAATCTGACTAAAAGTGTAGTAAAAAAATTGTAAAACATATGAAATCTTTTTTCCCTTTCATTTTCCCCATAAACAAAGTCTATCAATTTTCATTTAAAATTTTATAGAAAATATTATAAAATTAGATCCTTTTAACCAAGTATTTAAAAATGAACTCACTGTCGGCAAGATTGACTGTCGATGAAACAATTATCGGTGAAATAGACCGAACCTCATAACTATCAATTGAATAAAAATGATGATACAATAATATTACAAATTAGGAATAAATTGCGTAATGTGGCAACTCGTGATATTTCCGCGCCCGTATTTATAATAGCTAGAAACATTTGATTGGCTATCAGGTCATAAGTTGTTGATCGGATAGAATTTTTTTTTAAATATAAGAATTTTTATCTGTAAAATTAATGATAAGTCTTATCTAAAATACTATATTATTTATTTAATAAAACAAAAGTCATAATTATAATTGTATGAGATCTTTATTTTTCGTCAGAGTCATACTAAAATGATCAACATTTATAGTTACGAAAGATATTTTTTCAAATAATCTAAACAATTAAAAAAGTAAACAAATTATTATTTTATTTATATGAGATTTTTTTTTTCAAAATTAATAATAAATAATTATCTAAGATTTTTAGATCTTTCTTACCACACTAAAATTAAATATGAGAATTTTTACCAAATAATTATCTAAGATTTAAATAATTTTAAAAATTATATATTATATTAAAAAAAATTTTTTTCCATTGAACAATTTAGAATGCCCTGTCAGGAACTAAGATAACTTGTTATATTACATATTTTGATTCCTTTGGTCGTAAAAACACCTGGATTAGATATTAAAAAATTTATAAATGAGGTATTTTAAAATTTTAACATATTTTATATAATTAATAATTTTCACAAAAATCATATTAATCAAAATGTATAACAGCTTAAAATCCGGAAGGAAGTTGATTTTCATACAAATATTTTACAAATTCATGGGATTTCAAAATTTGACAATCAGTATTACATAAAAACGATATTAAAGTAGCAGAATTTGGCTTAGCTAAGAAAGCATCTGAAGCATCAAATTATTCTACTGAAGTATATGG